CTAAAACTAACATAAACTTAAACCTAACCTAAATCTACCTACGTTACCTAACCTAAATCTAACCTAAACCTAAACCTAACCTATTCGCGCGGCAATTATTATGTATATTTTGTGGACAAAATGCACTTCGAAAACCACTGGTATGGCAGTAAAGAGAAAAATGAAAAATACAATGTATTACTATTTATTAATAATAAATTTTCCAGAAAAAGAACTTCTTTAGTAAACAAACGTAAAAGATTGTATCAATAGTTTATTTCAGTGTGATATTTTTTTGAAACATTCTGGAATATGTAAAGCTACCAAACAAAGTTCACATTCCCAAGTAGTTTCACTCCTCTTTTTATCATTTTCGCTATTTAGCACCTGCATATCTATTTGTTTCAACAGCATCCCAATAATCATTCGTCAATAAATCGATCGAATAAATCTATTACAGTGGGAGTTTATACCTGTTTCCTTGAAGATGAAACTTTTTCGATTACTATCTTTGGCAATCCAATTCCCAGTCATCGGCGTTATTTTCATTTTCATTTGTTTTTATTGGATTCTCGTTGTCAGAATCTTCGGGTTCGATATGTTTCTAAAACGATTTTTCCGTCTTTGAAAAAGAAAAAAGATCTGTTCATCGCTGCACTTTTCAAAATTATTTCCACGTTTGCCCATGCTTGATCGCGAACAGAATTGCTTCGTAATTATATAGAACAATTATTATTCGAAATCAATTATTATGGCGATACAGCACAGCGTTATCCCGGCTATTAACGAGTCTCACTCGTTATTCTGCGCGAATGCGTTAAAACAGGCTTCACATTTTGTTCGGTCGTCGAGGAAATTGCAAACTATATCACGCGTTCAACAGACTTCCCGTCTTATACTCGCGAAACACTCGAGAGAGATCATCGGAACGAACGGTTTTGTTTTCTCTTCGTGACTCGAATCGACCCGGCACGAAACGATATAGAAAGCGCAAGGATAGAGAGAAGAGGAAGAAGTTTGCCGCTGGACAAGAGGGAAACTCGGGACACTGTCGCTTTCGACCGAGGCGAAGGTGAAGTTACGAGCGCGGAATATCTGGTTAACGTTAGCTTTATTTACGTACGTCAATCCGACGTGTTTCTCTAACAATTTTTACAATCCTGCAAAATACGTACACATCTTCTCGAGCCTATAATTTCGTACGTGTGTCGATAATT